AGAGTAAAACCTCACGCTTCGACCTCAAAAGTGACAAGCCAAGCCAGCAACCAAGATTCAATCCCTCCGAAAAGAGAACAACAGATCATCCAAGCACATTATAACTGTAAACTTCGAAGGAAAAAAAAAAATTCTAACGTACACATGCACCAACCAACACCATAGGGCATGCGTCTCTCTTTGGCTTCAACACCGGATAACAAAACGCTAGGTCCTTCGAGAAAGAGAGATCCTACAAACGCTAATTGATTCTAATGTTGATAATTTTGAAAAAATTAGCGGCGATTGTTGGATGTAGGGACATATGTAGAATTATAGTGAAAGTTCGTGAATATTTTTAGATAAAAAATATTCGGGGCAAAATTGAAATATGACCTAAAGTGAGCTTTTTTTCTAGAGGTTAAGCATCGGACAACGACTCTACTGTTCACATGTTACGTGGTTTCCATTCCATGAAAATCAAATAAAGACAAGGGAAAAGCCGCAATTGTCGCCATCAAAAAACTGTTCCCACCGCACACTATAAGCTGCAAAATTAGGCCAATTTGGACACGACAATGACTACTTCCCCAATTTTTTAATTTGACAAGGAAGACAACATCAATGATTTTAAAATCAATTTCTTTTTTGGTCGAAGATATTAAATCAATTTATGTGCGAATTTTATGTGGCAACTGGGCGAACCTCGAATGACGTCGGGTGGGAACCATCCTATGCCAATGCAACGCCACTTGTGACACAAATTTAAACAGTCAGAGGATTTGATAGCGCAAAATAAAACTTAAAAGATCAAATAGCACAAAGCCACAGACTTAGAGAACTAAAACTATACTAATTACCTGGAACCTACTAGTTGCAACATGTTCCTTATTTTTTGGAACTTATAACCTACCATGCATACCATATAACCTACCTTGTCATGGGTTTCAGGTTCCGTATAAGTTCCACCTATATTATTAATTGAAAGATTACAGTTAAAAATTACCTTTTATGATCACTACTTACTGTTACAATTCACAGATCACGATTTATATTTATACACACGAAACATATGAAACATTAGCAAGATAATAGTCTCAGTCATAATTTGGAAGCTTAGACTTCATCGAACGCCATGAAATACTGTGGGATTGGGTGAAGACACAGACCAATAAAAACACAAAAACTTATTTCAGGTTCTCGATTTCAGGTTCCAGGTGGAGCCCGTCGAAATTGGTTCCCCAATATTTGAAAACTGAAATCTACTCTGCATACCTTGGAACCGGACAAGTTCTCACTGGTCCGGTTCTCAAGTTCCAGGTTCTACTCTGAAACCTGAAACCATGCTCATCCCTACAAGAAATTATCGGCAGTCTAGAGAAGTTATTTAGGACACGTCTAATGCGAGCAAGCGAGTGAAATTGACATTTTATGTTCGAAACTGGAGCATCAATCGAAATCGAAACGGAATAACAAAACGACCTAAAAAGTAAATGCACGGACGTTTTCCTCTTTATTAGTCCAGATCTGTGATGCCCTATTTCATACCTGGGATCGAACACGATCATCACATTGTCGGTTCTAGAAACATGATCCTTACACAGTCATTGAGCGCAAGGGCAGCGCCAAATAAAGTCGGTACGCAAAATTTCTTAATTTTGGTGCTCGAGTATCTTTCGGTAGTTGAAGATCTTGGTCGGTTGCTTCGTGGACGTGGGACGAGAACATCTTAAATATTATTGTTTTTGTGTAACCTGATGTGGCTCGAGTAGCCAATTATAAGATGACCATCATCATCATCATCATAAGGTGTATGGTAATGTTTTTATTCTCGCTGATACGGAGGAGATCCGTGATCGATACTCGTCTGTGCATATTGGTGGGCTACCAACGTGGTAGTTGCGCATCATAAAATAATATGTCATCGGCTTGTATTTGGGTAAATAGTTTTTATTCCACATCGTCACATTATTTTTGTTGCATATGACGAAATAAAATTAATGGATTTACTCACCTTCATTTTATACATGCAAATATTTTAAATTCATGCTATTATATTTAATACCGGATCGAGTGGTAAGATGATTACCATCATTTAATGTACAAACAAACTTTTGTTTAGTATGTATACAACGGCGTTGAGTAACCTTGACCCGTTCTTAGGATTTTTGTAATGTATTGAATTCTTCTTTTGGATGTGTATCAATAGAAGGGTGATCGATATTAATGTAAAGGTGCATATGTACATTAGCTAAACTAGTTTGATTCCTCGTGTGGGATGATGGGTAGATATATATATATATATATATATATATATATATATATTTATGTTTATGCACGTACAAGAAAATATTATAAAATATAAATAAATGAATATAGGAAAGGACCACCAATATCCTAAATTTGTATCGGTGTACCAAAACATAGGGATTTTTTTTGTGAAACCGATACAACTTTGGAGTTTTGGCTATACAAATAATAAATGTTTTGAACTATGAGTGTCACAATGTGTATATATTTAGGATTTTTGGTGACACGATAAGAAATTCGGGATATTTTAGGACATGACTAATGTGAATGACTGAAATTGACATTTTTAAAAAGAGCGCCGCTTTTCCTCTCTCCTCTCCAGGGTTTTCTCTCTCCTCCTCTTATTTTCACACGACTTTCTTTTTCAACCTCCCATGGGAGGGAGGGTTTGAGTGAGATCTCTCCCTCCCCTCCCTTTTTCCATTTTTCTTTGGCCGATTTGAATTTTTGTTCTGTTTTTCTTACTTTCCTCTCGTTTTGTGGAACATTGTAAGGGTTTTACCTTCACAAGTGTCAGATCTCGTTTAACTATGTTACTTTGAATGACGATGGTGTTGGGGATACCGAACCTAGGCGCGCATCAACAAAAAGGCAAATCCATAGCAACAAATAGAGATCTCGGCATGTGCTCATCATTAAAGACGGATTCGATGATCTGTCGCTAAGCCACAGTTTGGCTCTCTGAGCGGGTGATCCACAGCCTTCTTCTGATGATTCATCTTGTTATTCTCCGGCTTGTTCTATTTTGAAGCTGTCCGAGACTTGTCTCGGTTTGTAGTCGGACAGATTTTTCGATTATATTTCATGTTGGAAACCGGAGGCAGAGGTTGAAGTCGCGCAGCAGCAAAATGACGAACGTCCTAAAACGCAATCCATGGACGCTTTCCCATTCCGTTTCATACGCAAATTTGATGCTGCGAACCAAACGATCTGTGATGCCCCTCTTCTCATTCACACGGCTTTGGGCCTCCAACACACGATCATCACATTGCTGGTGTTCTAGAAAAACACCGAAATCCCTCAACACAATCATTGAGCGGCGCCCGCAAAATAAAATATACAAACAAAAGTCGTGCGTGAAGATTTCTTCGGTTTTGCTGGTGGCCGTGTCCCCTTCGGTTGTTGAAAATCCGGGCCGATTGCTTCGCGGAAGAGAATTTCCACATCATTACTGTTTGGGATAACGACACAAACAGTCCCTGAACTTTGACTCAATGTGCAATTTGATCCCTGAACTTTTAATTTGTTCAATGTAGTCCCTGAACTTTAACCTAATATTCAATTTGGTCCATGAACTTTTAATTTATTCAATGTGGTCCCTGAATTTTTAATATGTGTTCAATTTAGTCCCTGAACTATATGAAAATATTCAATATAGTCCCTGCACTTGAATTAATGGAAGGACTACATTGAACATTTTCAAATAGTTCAGGGACTAAATTGAACACATATTAAAAGTTCAGGGACCACATTGAACAAATTAAAAGTTCAGGGACCAAATTAAACATTAGGTTAAAGTTTAGGGACTATATTGAACAAATTAAAAGTTCATGGATCAAATTGCACATTGAGTCAAAGTTCAGGGACTGTTTGTCATTATCCTTACTGTTTTGACTGTTTTGATGGAGGGAGGTCTCTTTTTTCCTGAAATTTAAGCCTAACGATTTCGCTAGATTGATCGAGTCCCGATCCTTTTCTCGTGCTATCCGCTCGTGTACTTTTCCGCTGCACCGGACAAATCATGTGGAAAAAATAGGGGATCTCTTGGAATTTTTATATCTCCTTTTATCTTTTTCTGGGGCCAAGACAAATGTCGTGGTTATGCGATCCTATCGGGGCGCGATTTGATAATTTCGTGCGACCCTCGAATCAATGAGATGGGAGAAAGCACCGACAATTCCATTTCGTACGGTCTCGCTTATAGTTTCGAGTTTTCTGGAAAGTTCGAGACACGCGATGCTCGATGATACGGGTGATGTCGGCATCCGGAAAAAAAAAAGGAAAAAAACAACTCGATACGAGTTCGAGCTGGACGCTCGGGGCTCCACCTGTCAATCAATTGTCGACCGAGCTGATGCCGAGGATCGCGATGCAGACCCCGACCATTTTCGACCCGGCCCCGACCCCGACCACGGGTCTACTACGTTCATTGTATGAGTTTATCCGGGTATCTTCTTGGAACGATTCTCTTTCTTTGGGAGAAAGGGAAACTTCTTAGGGCTTAAAATTTATAAAAAATAAATTTTTTTTTATTTTTTATGGGGCTTAGCTTTGTCCACGTCAAAAACGCTGCCGTCCCGCCCGGGGTGGGAGCAATTGGTTTTTGACGAGACGGGAGCAACGCGACATGCCACGTGACGCGTCAGCGACACGTCGTCGTCTCGAAACAAATCCCACACACGTCGATGGTCCCCACCACGACCCCCCACGCCCCCCCCGGCCACCCCAAAATTACCCTTTTGACCCCGGAGGCCCCGACAAAACCGAAACTCACGACGGGCCCCACACGCCGGCCCCCACACAATAAAGTAATCCGGGGCTCCCTCGCCGCTTGTCTCGATCTTCCAAAAGTCTTCTTCATCCCCCACCGTCGTCATTATTAAACGGGGTACGAGCTCGGCCTTATCTCGTCGCTCATCGCTACCATAAATACCTCCACAGGCAGGCGAAGCTCTCTCTCCAAGGAACGTGTACTGCTCAGCGATTTCAGCTCCTCCTCCTCCTCCCTCTGCGTTGTTCTTCCACTTTGTGTCCGCGCCGTGTTGTTGTTGTTGTTGTTGTGTGGTCGTCGGAAAATCTTGGGAGAAGGGTGTGTGTGTCGGGAGGTGATAGCAGTAGACATGGTCGCTCTGGTGTCCCAAGAGAACATGGTCACCCCCACTCTGGTGTCTCGCACCGGCAGGCACCTGCAGCGGTACAGCAAGCATGGCTCTCGCCAAGTCGTCGGGTTCGTCTCTCTCTGTCTCTCTCTGTGTTTGATTATTGGTTCTGATTCGATGTGAGCCAGAATCCTGAAATTGATGTTCGAGGCTACTACTGATGGTTCCACGCGGAACACAGTAGAGTCTTGAGATATTCGAGAAAGACGAGGTTTATGTCTCGGATAGAGTCTGAAATTGACAAGAATTGCATTTTAAGCCTCTACTGTGTACTGAACGACTCGTTCTTGGTTTCGGTTTCGTGCCGTTGTATTTGCAGGTGCATCCCGTACAGATACAAGAGCAGAGAAGGTGGTTCTTTGGTGGGCGAGAAGGAAGTGGAGGTGCTTGTCATAAGTTCCCAGAAAGGGAAAGGCCTGCTGTTTCCCAAGGTAAATGATTTGCTCATTTTTGAATGGTATGGTTTTCATAGGTTGAAATTAAGTGATTTGACTGTAAATCTCACCACGCCTTTTGTCCGTTGCTTGTTTGGCTCAGGGAGGTTGGGAAATGGATGAATCCATCATAGCCGCAGCTGTGCGGGAGACCATGGAGGAAGCCGGCGTCCGAGGTACTATTGAGGTGAGCGACTTCATACCGCAGTCTTGCACTGCAAACAGGATCTTTCAAGAATAGAAGTTGATTTGTGCAAAAACAAGAAAGTTCTGAAATTTCGCAGGGCATGAGTATTGGCACGTGAGCGTTGACCTCTAGTAGTCAAGACCGTTTCTTCATATGTATCTGTTTTGATGTGGGCAGCTCATGGTTTCTCTCTAATTTTGAATAGCTGAACTTTGATGGAAAAATGACCAGCATTTTCCTTGAAAATTAGTCTTTGCCTAAGCTCGAAAATTCCCGATTTATCAATCTGTGCCCAAGAAGCATGAATAGAAAATCTGAATAGGTTGAGTCGTTGGAAAGTCAACTGAACGTTAAATGCGTACATCTCTTGTACACGATGGCACCTGAGATGAAAGAGTAGAGTCCATGACTTCGTTCGAGTCCCCGAGAAGATGCGCCCAGGCTATTGACACTGAACCGCGGTTCCTTTCCTGTGTTTCAGAAGCAATTAGGTAAATGGAGTTTCAAAAGCAAGAGCCAGGACGCGGTTTACGAAGGATACATGTTCCCGTTGCTCGTGATCGAGCAGCTGGAAAACTGGCCGGAGAAGAATGTCCGTGAAAGACACTGGGTAAGAGCCCGTGTCCGAAAGCTTTTACTTTCTGTGCTGCTAACTAATGAAAAGCTAGATTATTTAGCGAATCTGATGACGGATGAATTGTCGATGCAGATGAACGTGAGAGAAGCTAGAGAGAAATGTCAGCATGGGTGGATGAAGGAAGCCCTGGACGTTCTAGTGAACCGTATCGCATCTAAGGAAGGAGATCGTCCCTCGCTGTGACATTGCTCGATCGGACTGTGTATATAGGATCATAGTGATCACTGAACGGAGTAAAAGAGATAGAGTCACAACTTTTTCGATCCCAAGCAGTTTGGGGAGAGGATTAGGGGTTGTGAAGTTGTATCGTTTAGATACACTGAGGCGGGCCGTTGGAGCTAGTAGAGGTTCAGGAACGAGTTCGTCCGTGTGTTCAAGCCAAATGTATAGCATTGTTTCTCATGGCAAAAGGATCCGTGAAATCGCTCGCCCCACTTAATTTTCAAGTGATTGTACAACGTCGTTTTTTCAGTCTTTTTCCATCCTTTTGGTCCTCGCTAACATCACGAATTGAAATCTGTGAGGAATGTAAAGGAGACAAAACAGAGCAATGAGTAAACTGATTATTGCTGTGAAATGTTGTGCCAAAACTCTTGAGTGTCTGGTCAGCTCTCCAAGTCCCTTAACCAAAGCTAACTGCAGGGGGGGGGGGGGGAACAATGAGCATCTGCTAATGCATCCCCACTAATGACAGGATCAACTCTACTACAGCTCCTGCTCATCTTCCACACCACACTTTCCAATTCCAACATTTATGACTTGCCATAACAAGTATGTTCCGGAATTAACTCGACAATCCCCGACCCAAGTCTGACGCGAGAATAACTCGGCCGCCAGTGACGAGCGGTCAGTGTTCCAGCATCGTCCTGGCCGTGCCGCGTAACGCTCGGTTCTGTCTTCATGTTATGGTGAAAAAACTTAATTGGACTTGATAACAAGCAATGGATGGAATTGGGAATTCAGAAATACAGAGCCAGATGAAGTGATGAGCTCTGAATTTTCACCGGCAAAAGTTTTTAGAGGATATCTTGAGCCAGCTTGTTTTTGGATTGATTTTGAATTACAAACTTTTATCGATGTTACTAACTTTCATATTCAAATATCAACTACATTTAGTGAATTTCCAACTGTTTGCCAATGAAGTCTTCAGTTACTTTTAGGCTATCAACTCTTATTTGAGCCGTACACATTTTTTTATCTAATTCTCTTGAGTTACCAAATTCTCTAACTATTTTATTCATAGTTACCTCTCCAATATGATGTTATAAAAGTTATTCGAGCTATGTACCGACCTTTTTCTCGATGAAATTTCCAACAGATCTTACTTGAACCACTTATCAATATTTTGCTGGTTAGCTTCGAAATACTAATTTTTCTAATAACTTATCTATTTTTGTTGAAACCCACTTTTATACTCAATTACCGACTTTTTTTTGGACTATTTTCTTTCTAATGAAGTTGCCAACTACTTGTGAGTTATCGAATCTTATTTGAGTCGCTTGCCAATGTTTGGTCGGCTCCAAATTATCAACTTTTCTAATAACGTACCGACTTTTTTTTTAAAGTTCCCAACTATTTCATAAGGGTTGCACTTGTTCTATTCCCACAACAGTTAAAACACTCCCTATCATAATGTTTTGACAATATTAACCTCTATGGGCCCTACCTTTTTTAAGGGGTTTTTCTTCTCTCTTTTCTTGTTGTGCCACTTTCCTTCTTCTCATTTATTTCTCTCCGATCTCTCTCTTTCTAAAACACCTCGCTCATTTCAATAACAGACAAGTTTTTGACACCCAACATCCGCCACCGGCACACAAAAAAATAAAAAAAACATTCATCACCGACACAAGCAATCCACGGAGTTGAAGCCCTAATTTGCAAAAACCTCCTACTCACCCAACTAGTCCTCTTCCACCTACATTTCTTCAACTCAAAGCTTATAACTGTAAGTAAAAAACTCAAGTTATATCTCTTCACTCTTTATCCCCATTCCGTCCCTTTCATTCTCTGTGTTATTTGTTGTCCCCTTCGCATCAAACTTTTCAATTGATCGATCTCGAAGACAAGAAAAACACTCCATCCAAGATTCTAATCCAGGAGCTGAAGCCCTCACCCAAATCCTCATCAAGCTCATTAGTAATGCCTGCTTCTCGGTCTTGGTCTTCTTGGTCCTGATCGTCACCATCATCGCCAATTGACCATCACCTACCAGCCTTCAGATCCATGGCTCAAATCCGCCCTTGCTCTCACTAAGTTGTTTACGCAAACCGAAAATGCCACCTTCAAGAACGACAATCTCATCCTCAAGACCGGCAAGAATTTGCCCCTCCTCACCCCTGCGTCTCTCCTACTTCCCCTCTGATCTCGGTCGCCGAGCTGCCATTGCTGGCGATTAAGAGGGCTAAAGAGGTGATTGCAAACTCGACCCTTGCCCTTATGCGATAAGGGGACCCTCAAAGTCTAAGGCTGCCAATTGTTCGGATCCCCATGTTCTTATTGCCGTTAAAAAGTTCAATGCGAGAGCCTTTAGGTTTATTGTGTTATTGGGTATCAAATTCCGATTAAAGATTCAAAAGATGACGAGTGAGACGTGGCCCAGACAAAGTGACAAAATAGACCACAAAAGGGAGTCTTCTTCTTTTTTTTGACATGTACTAACCATGATCGGAACAGAAAGAAGTAAAAAAAGAGGGCGGTGGGACCCACGAGAAAAGACAAAGAAGAAAAATCACAACCAAACAAAAAAAGATGCTTGGAAAAAGTGGGACCTATAAAAGTGATTGTCAAAATACTGTGATAGAACGTGTTTTAGCTACGATGGAAGTGGAAAAAACGCGACCATTTCGTAAAACACTAGCGTTTATTAAAAGTATATATAGCGAGTTATTACTTATTGAAAAGTCAACCCCTTCGGCCACTAGCATGTACCGTCCCTGATGCAGAGGCCGATGTGCCCTGTGCAAAAAATGGGCACAAATGGGCCATGTATACATGCAACAAAACAAATGGGCCACGCCAGCCCGGCCCATTTGTTATCACAGACGGGCTTACATTTCTCTTTCCTCTTTTGCCCCAACCATCTTCTTTGCCTAATTATCCTCTAGTTCCTTTTGTTTCGCGAAAAAAAAAATTTAAAAAAGATTTTTTAAAAAATTATTACCTGTATCGCTTGAAATAATCAGTAAATATAAAATATTTTCATTATCGACAACAATATATGTCTAAACAATTTCATGGACGATGAAAATATCTCGTCCATTCATTTTTGTAAGTGATTCGAGTGATTAATTTTTTGCTCGTGTATCTTCACTCGACAAAGCTTCTGCTCATCACAAAAAAAAAAAGTCCTCGACGGTCATCTAAATTAACATCTTCGAATCGAAAAAGAGAACCGTTAGCCAGGTCTCCACACCCAAAAAAAATATAGGGTTAATATCACGAAAAACCCCAAACTGATACTCATGTGACAAATTTACCAAAAACTAATTTTTTGACTATTAAAATCCTCAAACTGGTACATTTGTGAAAAATTTACTTTTCGTTAGTTTTCGTTAAATTGGATTAATACCACAAAAAATTACAAACTTATACACCTATGACGAACGGAGGGCAAAACATAAAGCTGATACATCAATCAATTGCCGAGTGTCATTTAATAAAGTAATTTCATAGTAAAATTTAACGAAAACAAATTGAGGGTAAATTTGTCACAGGTGTACCAGTTTGTGGTTTTTGGTGATTAAAAAATTAGTTCGAAATAAAATTATTACAGGTGTACCAGATTGTGGTGTTTTTTGTGCTATTAATCCAAAAAAATATATGTGCACAAGACGAATCCCTCTTTGACAGAGAAGTGGTTTAACACTTGGAGAGCACAAATCCTTTATGATCAGCTTGGAAACGAGAAAGCTTGCGGACGAAGTTCATGCAAAGCAAAGCCATGCAATTATGGGATCGCCCCCTTTTGATCGTGCTCGCCATATCATCAAAGCTCAATTATGCACAGAAACCTTAGGGTTGAAAGTGGCTCTTTACGTTCGACAGAAAGCAAAAGCGGATGAAGAAAAAGGAGACGCTCTGTCTTCCGATCGTTTTTCTGAAGGATTTTGCATATAGAAACGGTAGAAGACAAATGCTTTTCGAGCGGTGTGGTCTGCTGATCTTTTTAGTCAGTCATTTCAAGTTGCTTCGCTTTCTGGTTACTTTACATGCACGAGTAATTTCTTCCCTGAGATCTGGTGTGTTTTGTCAGTCTCTCTACCTCCGCTTATGATGATATACCCGATAAGGAGATAGTAAACCACATCGAGTTATTTCTCCGAAGTATGTAGAGAAACGTACTTTATATCTGATTTGTGAAAATCATCGATTATCGATTTTTCATTTAAGCACCCGACAAAAGTCTGTCACATCACTTAATAAACCCATTTAGTAGATGCGTCTAAGCATCTCTTACATTTTTTTTTATATAAATAATATAGCGTCATGGTCGTCGTGTCTTTTGCGGAAACAAAACAACTGCATATTGACAATGCACGAAATCAAGAACCATTAGAGTTGTGAGTCAATTTGTACTTACAATTTGTTGCGGACTCTCCTCTTTATGCTTCATTTTTCTCTTCAATAATAGCCCTTTTTCACCTCGCGCTACATCCTATTAGCACTCTCAACGTACAAGACACCTCACTCATAATCATATACCCAAGTGCTTAAATTAATCGATAATCAATAAAGGGGATCAACTAAAGATATCCAACTAGGATTCTACTGTCTTTCTCGCAACTTTTAACACATTCAAAGTAAACATACACTATTCACATAAAGCAAAAGCTGCCTTCCCTGAGAGTATCCTCCAACTTATTTGAGCCGAGAATCTATACTGCATAGGCATTACATTCATGCACATAATGAAAAGTTAAGAAGGCCAGTAGCACTTAGCCTCTCTAGATGTGCAACCATGTCTAGAACAGCAAAACTCATCTCCCTCTTGATCATCACCATCGTCATCCTCTTCATTGATCCTGCACATTCCTATACCGATTCATTCCTCTATGGAGGCTGCTCCCACCTTAAATACACCCCCAACTCGGCCTACAAGTGGAACGTCAACTCACTCCTCACCTCGCTCGTGAACTCGGCCACCTACTCGTCCTACAACAAGTTCACGATCGTGGGCTTGAGCCCGCAGGATGTTGTCTACGGGCTCTTCCAGTGCCGGGGCGACCTGTCCATGCCCGAGTGCGCCACGTGCGTGGCCCGCGCAGTGAGCCAGCTCGGGGCCCTCTGCTCCCACACGTGCGGTGGCGCGGTGCAGCTGCAGGGGTGCTACTCCAAGTACGACAACGACACCTTCCTTGGGGTGGAGGACAAGGCCGAGGTGATGAAGAGGTGCGGGCCCTCGGACGGGTATGACGCGGATGCGATGGGCCGGAGGGATGCAGTCCTGGCGAGCCTCGCAAGCGCGGGCGGCCCTTACCGGGTGGGCGGGTCAGGGAAAGTTCTGGGCATGACCCAGTGCGTAGGGGATCTGAGCGCGGGGCAGTGTCAGGATTGCACGGCGGAGGCAATCGGGCGGCTGAAAAGCGAGTGTGGCACGGGGGTGTATGGTGACATATTCTTAGCCAAGTGCTATGCTAGGTACTCAACCAAAGGGGCACAATCGTTCTCCAAGGCGAATGATGGTGGTGAGTGATTACTTCTCTATTTTCTTGTGTTCTTTACACACTAGATCAGGTGACATGTGATGAATAATATTACAGATACAACATCACTAACCAACCAAATCTGCATTATCTATTGCAATTATTTAACATGCGGGGCCATTAGAATGCCCAACCAAAGTGCAAAGACATGACCAGTTGACACTATAACTTCAACACAACACATGGTATAAGCTGCTACCAATGCCAAATGATCGACTTCTCGGACAACGGTCTAGTTTAGTATGCCATGACAAAGAAAGTACAGCAACAGTTCTTTAGGAAACAGACGATCGCCGCCGATCGGATCGAGTAATTTAGATCAGGTTTATCTATGCAATTTCGTTCTTGAAATGCAGGGAAACCAAGGGACAGAGGTACGAAGACGTTCGCGATCATCGTGGGTCTGCTAGGTGGAATTGCTCTGCTCATCATCTTCCTGACTTTCATAAGGAAGGTGTTTCAGGGAGGAGGTAAGCATCTACATGAAAGAACACCAGAGAAAAATACTAACACGCCTTCGATAAGGCTGTAAAAGATGATTATAATTTGATGGTGTCTTCATTTTCCTTGTGCAGGTAAATAACGAGGTTGAGATATATTCGGGCAAGATGCGCCGTCGTGTTTGACTCTATTCATGTCCGATAAGTTTGAGGAAGAAAAAAAGAAGAAGATGCATTTGATCAAACAGTTCATTTGTAAGGAATCAAAATAAGGCAAAGCTTCGATTTGTTGTGCACGTCAAGATGCTGTATTCGATTAAATGCTAAAAACTTCATGCTTGCACTTGCTCGATTTTACTTAACCTGACCGCGACGAGGTGTATTTCCTTCTTCACTTTGCAAGAGATTAAAATGATATAGAAAGAAATTCTCGACCCCAACATAATTATCTTTGGCTAGACCAAGTGCGGGGACTGGGGGTCCCCTTTTGTCCAGGGAAGGAGGGTGCACAAAGCCAATATAGATGTTGATTCCATTAGATATCGTCACGAGTTTGAGCACGCGTATGAAATCCGATCCGCCTTACTTTCTCATTTTATCGGGGGATAATCTTGGAAGGCCCAAAAGCGAGATCGAATATTCAAGTTCTTTAGAAAAAGATAAGAGCTGAACTGATGCTTTCATTTAACGCGAAGCATTCTCTCTGGTTGTCAGCGCCACTTAAATTCTTCTAGTAGCTGGACACCGCTACGTTTGGTTTCGGATCTCGTCTTCTGTTTTTTCTTCCTTTTCCTTTCCTTTTTTTCTCTTTTGAGGCACGTTAAGGTTTTGAATTGAGTAGTGGTGTTGCTCTTCTAGGCAGGTGCTTTTGACAACGGTCGACTAGACTGCAGCCACTTTAGGGTGAGCAATTGGAGAGATTCAATTCAGGAATCGAATTGAACCGGCCTTACCCGATCGATTCCAAATTGTATGGGGGCCGGATAGGTTCATGGATAAAAATTATACATAATTGGTTTTTAAGATTTCTTCTTCTTCTTATCTCTTGTTTAGAATATAAATAACTATGTTAGAGTGGGCTTCAAAATTTGAATCGCCTGGGGAATTCACCAATGCCTTAATGATTACGCCACAAATTGTTCACGGAATATATTTTCCTAAAACAATGGTTTTAATACTTAACATTAGGCCCAGTTCCTACGTGCTTGGAATTGGCCGGTTTATCTCTAGGCTTATTCCTAAGGGAACTGACTATAACATGGTAGGTTTCAGATTTTTGGTCCGGAACTTATCTACTCTCGACTAGATCACCCCACAACCACTAGTCTTTTTTTTTTCTTTTCGAAAAGTTGTGGTATGAATCCGTGTGTTCACGATTATTGGATATTGTCACCGGATCTAAATAAGCAGTTGCCTCTTTACCAATTCAATTAAAGGTCTCTTTTTCTTGCTAAAACATTGCATTAAAGGTAAACCCTATTCATTTAAGTGAAGGAGGAGTTGTTTTGTTAGTGGAGTGGATAGGTCAAAGTCACATTACCTTACACTCCCTAACCAAAGAAAGTCAACCCCATCATCCATCCATTTCTTTGCATCATATGGATTAGATGACAGGCCCCACCTTGGAAACTTCCCCATCTCAAGATTGCTTAATCATGTGCACAACCAAAAACAGAGTTTAAAACCTTGGCATTGGCACGACAGGTCCCACACAGCCCACTCTTGCCTTTGAAGATCTTCATTTGGGCATTGTTTCCTACAGATTTTCCTATGTTTTCTACGGAGTGTACCGATCTTCCGTTGTACCGTGATAAACCCTAATTTATCTTGTCGTACATTCAATATCAGCCGTCACGCCGCATTACATGCTTTTTAGTGAAAATTTCCAAGTGCTTGCATGATACGATACCCTGATTAAGAGATACGGTGAAATGAAACTAGATACGACTCGATACGAGAGCGGGGATTTCTCGAGAATCGTAGAAGCCCCTTCAAAGTGGACCTTTGCATCATGTCTGTCGATTGCTGAAGCAAATGGTGAAATTTTTTTGAATTTTAAAGTGCCTGCGCATCATGGTCTTGCCACCGTCCTTGAGAATTTTTCCCTTTTATTCCCTTTTCTTTTGGCTAGCAATAACGTGCATTGGCTCTTCGTCCCATTTTGTTAATCGTACCGAGTATGACAGTCGACCAGTAATTATGATAGTAATAACTTCGCCGTGCGAAATAATGCCCGAATATGATAATTCAGGCCTAAACTTCCGAGCGAAAGAGATAGAGAGAGAGAGAGAGCGCCTAGGCACACCATGGACCTTCTTCTGATTACTTTATGATACACGTAACCATGGACAAGATCAAACACCTCGCCCTTTTCTTCTCTGTCCCGTGCAATTACTGCGCCATTCCTCCTCCACCCAACCGGCAGAAAAACCTGCAACATCAAAATTTAAAATCTTCCATCTAAGAAGACCACCTTCGACTCACTCCTCCATCTCCCACCAATTCATATCAAACACACAAACTCGCAACTACCACACCAATAGTTCTCACCGGAAACTCAATCGAATTCTTTGCATACTTCGTCGGCCGTCGCTCCCCTTAACTTCGCATGATCCCAAGAACCCCTGAATCCAACGTCACGGATTTCTCGACCCGAAGAGCTCTCTCGCCATGAAACCTCAGCACCCCCCGAAACAGAGCGTCGCCACCACCCTGTCCATGCCGCTCGTCGTCCTCCTGTTGCTCTGCCTCTGCTCTTCCCCTGCCAATTCTGATATCGCCTCCGACAGAGCCGCTCTCGTCGCCCTTCGCTCCTCCCTCCATGGCCGCCCCCTCCTCTGGAACCTCTCCGCCTCCCCGTGCTCCTGGGAAGGCGTCAAATGCGCCCTCGGCCGAGTCGTCGAGCTGCGGATGCCCGGGATGGGCCTGCGCGGCGAACTGCCGCCTGGGGTCATCGGCAACCTGACGGGACTCCAGACCCTCTCTCTCCGGTTCAACTCGCTGAGCGGGTTGCTCCCTCCCGACCTTGCCGACCTCCTCTCTCTTAGCAACCTCTGCTTGCAGGGCAATAAATTCTCCGGCCAATTGCCGGACTTCTTGTTCTCTATGCAGAGCCTGGTCCGCTTGAATCTAGCTGCGAACGAGTTCGACGGCGTGATCTTGCCGCGGTTCAATAACCTCTCCAGGCTGAGCGCTCTGTATTTAGAACAGAATAACTTTACCGGGTCGATTCCGGAGTTGAATTTGAGGCTCGATCAGTTCAACGTCTCGTTCAATCAGCTGAGCGGGGCGATTCCGATTCCATTCTCAGGAATGCCTAAGAGCGCTTTCGAGGGGAACTCACTCTGCGGGAAGCCCTTGAACCCTTGCGTTGGGACAGCGGCGACGAGCGGTCATAAGTTGTCAGGCAGAGGGATTGTGAGCATCGCGGTGGCTTCCTTGCTAATATTGTTGCTGGTCCTAGCGATCGTTTTCTTGATATGTTGCATGAGGAGTACCAAGAAGAAGCACGACAATTCGAAAAAGACCGAAGCTCCAAAGCAACCTGAAATTGGCAGTCGGGCCATCGGGACAACTAGCGATGCTAGCGGGTTCAACAGTCTGGTGTTCATGAGGAAGCAACAAGAGAAGATATTTGACTTGGAAGACCTGTTGAAGGCTTCAGCTGAGGTTCTAGGGAAGGGGACTTTCGGGACAGCCTATAAGGCTTCGCTGGGGAACGGAATCGCCGTGGCCGTGAAGAGGCTTAAGGACGTGAGTGATTCCGAGAGCGAGTTCAGAAAAAATATTAATGAAATCGGATCAATGTATCATGAGAACTTGGTGCCTCTGGTGGCTTACTATTATAGCAGAGATGAGAAGCTTCTGGTTTATGAGTACATTCCCACGGGAAGCTTATCTGCTCTATTGCACGGTAACAACTGACGTTAATTTTTGTCTACTTACGTTGGATTGTTAATCAGAGAGTTTAGTGCATTGTTTTTTCTCGTCGACACCGAATAATTTCATGATGATTTTCTCGATTATAGGCGATAATGGCGCCGGGTGGACGCCACTTAGTTGGGACACGAGGTGCCGCATCGCGCTCAGGGCCGCGCAAGTGATTGCGCACATCCACTCACAGGGTCCCGAGGCCTCCCACGGGAACATAAAGTCGTCGAACGTCCTCCTGACCAAGCTGTACGAGGCCCGTGTCTCCGACTACGGCCTCGCCCGTCTCGCCGGCCCCACCGTCTCCCCCAGCCGGTTCCATGGGTACCGCGCTCCTGAAGTGATAGACATCCGGATTGTGTCCCAGGAGGCTGACGTGTACAGCTTTGGCGTGCTGATCTTGGAGCTCATCACAGGGAAGGCCCCATTGACGTCGCTGCTGGCCGAGGACGGGGTGGACCTCCCCAGGTGGGTCCGCGGGGCGGTGGAGCAGGATTCATCGGCCGTGGTCTTCGATGCCGAGCTGCTGAGGTACCAGAATGTGGAGGAGGACATGATTCGGATGTTGCAGATTGGGATTGATTGTACCGAACAGAGTCCTGATCAGAGGCCCGCCATGGCCGAGGTGACCAAAAGATTGGAGAGCCTTTCTCAGTTTCACTCGCTGCAAGAACAAGACTAGGATCATTTGATAACGTGTTTGATGGTTCATTTTTAGAATGATTTTTCAATTGATCGAACTGCATTCTGAGTCTGCATTTGAAGAATTGGAGGTGATCAGATTCAGCAACACATTGGCGTTGACGGGTCTGTCAGATTTGATCTTGTACACCTTCGTGATTCATTTTGGTGTTGCGGGGGGTTGAGAATTTGAGTCAATTGTAAATTCTTTTTCTTCTTATAAATTGTTAATTTAAAATTTGTTTTTTTTGGGATTTCTGGTGCTTCATATCCTTTCGAGAGAATTTACCATGCAGTTCCATTTTGCAAAAATATTTTCCTTTCATGCATTTTCGAGGAGCAATTTGCACGTGATGATGATTTGTTGGTGTGTTTTGCTAGCTTCATATGAAACCGTTGACATCAGATTCATCCTAACTAAAGAAAAGCTTAATTAGTAAGCTATTAAAAGTTAGTACACATGATACAAGCACGTTGAAGAAAGGTTCTATTGTTATTACTTAATTAACATATCAAACTTGTCCGTCTGTTCTTGGGTCCAATAAAGCACGAAATGAACAGACAATAGCCCCACAGCATCGATTGATATGGTCGGAAGCCGAATGGATTCCCCATCCCATGTCTTTCCATTTGACTCCCGATTCGAGCTCAATCGAATTTTATTTTTAGTACTCATCGCATGATCAAGATGACGAGAAAGAATGTTGGGCTTCGAGTGGTACTGAAGATCGTGCTAACATGGTATTACCGAGCCAACCGTGTGGGGTTTTTTTCGATGGGAGCCACGAAATCTAGTGATTCATACTTTCCATACCGGGGAGCATGACAATGATTTCTTTGCTTGGTGTTTTTTTTGTACTTCCAGTATAAGCAAATGGTGAAGTGTTGAAGCAAAGATGTAGTGAAATATGGGGACTTTGCTTTTACACGAAACCTGATTTCTTTCTGATTTGCCAAAGTTAGGGAATAGACAGTGACTTTCCCTTTTCGGTTACGACCTGTCGCTTTTGCTTGCGGTTATCTTGTGACATTCCGATCTGTTCCTACTTTTAATTAATAAAACCGACTTGCTTCTCCTAAACCGAAAGTGAGATTGGTGGGGCGCACTTGGCTTTTATGACTGGTGCCTTTGGTGGGACTTTCTTTAGCTTTCTACAGCCATACAAAAGAGAACTACACTATTTAAAGACCGTTCTCAACGTTCGATTCAATTTTACTTTTGCGCCCTTAATTTCTAAATTTCTATGGTTCATACCCCATCGGCGGGAACGCACGAGGGTCCCACTTTCCGGTGAGCATGCTCCCATAATTTAGGCCTGTATTTTATTAGTAGTTTAGATTTGAGCCCATAAATAACTGCTAAGCATATATAATCTTTTTATCTTATAATTGAGGGTTATATAAGAGAGATGAGACATGCTAATTGTAGCGAGAGTTAAAAGGGATAGCGCTCCCATAATTTGGGCTTGTTTTTTTATTGGTAGTTTGGATTTGAGTCTATGAATAACTACTGAGCACATATAATCTCTTTCTCTTGTAATTGAGGGTTGTAATAGAGAGGTGTGGGGTGTTAATTATAGTGGAATCTCTTCTGGATAGAGCCTAAGTTTATTGATGAATCAGGATAAATCTTGTGTCTTGATTTCTCTTTCTCGTTTTTACTGTTGTTGACATCAAAATAAGAATCGGCATAAACGCTGAGTCGGCTTTAATGCCGAATTTGGTGTATAATGGAAATTAGCCATCTTCCGAAACACGTCTGGACTAAATTCGGAAACATGCTGAGAAGCAAGCGTGAATGGCATCATGTCCCGAATTCGGTAATTGATGAAAATATGTATATTTACCGAAACATGGAAAACTATAGTTCGGGAAGTTGGAATATTTATGCCTCAGGACGGCGACCCTTTCCCGAAACTCGGGAGGTTTACACTTCGGGAATATATTGAAGAATCATAGCCCAGCCACGTAAATCACGATAGCAAGAAGTTGTGAGCAAAAGCGGGGATAGTGAGCACGAGCATATCGTGGGAAGTTACTTGTCCAGATTTGAAGTCATTTTAGCGGTTGAGATCAAGTTTTGGCGGACAATAAAACTGGAAAAACGTGATTAGAAAAGGCAGTTATTGGAAGCGCCAAAATTCAAAGTTTGAAAACATGGAAGTAACCGACAAGCAGTTACAGGATAGGAGGAGATACAAATACTCAGAGGAAGCAAAGAGGAAGGAGGACCAACAACAATGCAAAAACACTCAAGCTTATCTGCACTTTAGTTCCCTATACACCTTTACTTCCTGTATTTACAGCTTCCTGTAGCGTTAGTTAACTTTCAAGTCCTTTACAGCTTTCATAGGAGTATTGTAACGTAACTCGAAACTTTGTTGATCTCAGACCCATTTCCAGTCCATTCGGTTTCTATCCGTTCCATACAATCTTGTGTTACACTTTATTTTTCACCACAACTCTCCTAGTAATCAAGCCACAGAACCTACCTTAATAAAAATCGAAAATCGAAGTTTCGGTGAAGGATATTCCTCGTCGTAAAACGAGCGAACATCTTTTTGGCACGCCCGGTGGGACTTGCGTGGTAAGATTTGGAGAAATGGTGAGAACCAGGCAATCTGAAGGAATACCGGTGGGTAACGTCAACAATCCAGTTGATGGAGCACATTCTAAGCATTATGCGACTAATCAAGTTGAGGAGAATGCCGACATTCCTCGGCAATTAACTGAAGAACAAGCCCGCGCGTTGGCACCAGATAATACCTTGGTAGCCACGATGAAAAGGATGTTTGAGGAACAGCAGAACGACCTTACCAATCATATAGTGCGACATGTGACTGATGTGATAAAAGCCCATGGTGATCAATGCTATAAATGAGGTAATATCGCGTCCCGTTTCATCTTCTCAAGTTCCACCCTTTTATGCAAATCCTCTTGGGACAACATCGTTTCCACCAACATCGGGACCTCCTCATGTGGGGTACAACGGTAGTGTGGGATCAAATTCTCAACCTCCTGTTAGGATTATACCAAGACCAGAGAATCCTACCCTTATAAACTCGTAAATGATGTGAGTGCTTATAATTTCCCTCAAAATGCCCCAAATGATGTTAATTTGGTTAATCCCATGGTCACAAATGCATCACCAGTGATGAATGTACCTCCTCCAGTAAATATGCCTAATGTTGACCATATCAGACCACCTGCGCCTCAACCGTATCCTCATGTGATAGAAAATCCTCTTTATAGGCCACCACTACCCGTTAATTTCAACATGGAGCAGCAAGGAGTGAACCGACCTCAACAGTTCGATCCTAGAGGTCAAGATCCTTGGTTAGGTCAGCAAAATTTAAGGCCATGGAACCCAGATAGAGTCGCAGAATTGGTAATGCAACAATTGGGAGCAGAGAGAGGATTGCCAAGGCCAGTATATAGGAAGCCACATCCCGATTGGGTTGATAACATACCATATCCAAGGGGTTTCAAGATGCCAGATTTTGCTGTATTTACCGGAGAGGAGGATCAGTCAACTGTGGAGCATGTGGGTCGATTCTTGGCACAATGTGGAGAAGCTGGAACTAATGAGTATTTAAGGCTAAGGTTGTTCCCATTGTCTTTGTCCAAAACAGCATTCACTTGGTATACAAATTTGCCTGCGAATTCTATTCAAATATGGGCCGAGATGGAAAGGCAGTTTCATTCTCAATTTTACCGAATGGTACCAGAGGTAACGGTAGCCGATTTGGCCAGGATGTATCAATATAGTACCGAGACAGTAAATCAGTTTATTGCACGTTTCAAGAAATCCAGAAATCGATGTTTAACATCACTCACTGAGAAGGAGTTCACAGATTTGGCTTTTAACGGTTTGAGGTTTAACTTTAAGGAAAGATTTGAAGGACAAGCCTTTGACGATCTCTTTCAGTTAAACGCTTAGGTTTCCAAGTACGAACACTTATTGAAGGAGAAAGATAAGAAGCCGAATAAGGACAATCGGCAGACAGTGGCACTTTCTGAAAGTACCGAACATGGTGCTACAGCCGAAGAGGAGAATGAGATAGCTGTAGCAACCATGGTACTTGAAAAACCATATGTGTGTCCAGCACTTAAACCGGCTAGAGTGAGAGATGTGTCCAAGTTCAAGGCTAAGGAGACAAAAATTACTCCTTTGATATCTATAAGTTAGATGAAATATTTGACCTATTGTTGAAAGATGGAATGATCAAATTATCAGAAGGACAAGTAATCTCATCAAAGGAGGAAATAACAGACAAGAGATATTGCAAATGGCATCATTCTACAACTCATGATACGGTGAATTGCATTGTGTTTAGGAAGACTATCCAAGAGGTAATTCGCCAAGGCAAGATTAAATTTGCCGAAGACAAAGGCAAAGCCCTAATGGAAGTAGACATAGGCCCTTTCCCAAACATGATCAGCATGGTCAATATACAAGAGACAAAAGACGATGACAACAAACAACTTTGCACTCGTTGTCACCAGGAGCTGGCTCGGTAAGATCGGGAGTTTCCCAGGTTCCAATTCATGAAGGGAGCGAGAGGGAGATACAGATCGGGATCATTCGTCCGCAGGATAAGCAGACCACAGATAAAATCTGAGATTGTAACTACCGAAAACTCTTCGGTACGAGCAAGAAAGGAGGAAATTTACCCAAGACAGACAACACAGGTGTTTGAAAGAAAAGATCCTGGTCATAGGCATGAGAGGAAGGAATACCACCCTGGTTCATCTCAACTAGCCCCCCCCCAATTCGGGAGTTGGTTACCCAAGTTCATGAAGAAAACGAAACATTAACGAAGCCTGCAAAGAAAAAGAGTTTATGGCAGCGATATAAGGAAGGTGATCCCAAAGTCGGATTGCTTGGAGAACCTAGTGGGAAATTTGACTATGTGGTCTATTATGGAGATACGGATGATTATCCACCTCCATCATTGCCAGTCGAACCAACTGGCTGGGGAGATGAATTTGATGATCCACCACCATCGATTTCTCAGGAAATCCACAAAAGAAAAACAGTTAAGGTGCCGTATGACCCTCCCAAAGGAAAATGGTCAACAGTTAGAGCGTCGGGACAGGCATCTTACAGAACCATCAAGAGGCGTTTCCAGCGAATGAGAGACAGACAAAGGAATTTTGAGAGTGGCCAAGCTAAAGGTATAGTAAGGCAAAATTTACCTTTCACATCTGTCAGTAGGAAAGGTAATTCGGTATGGAAAAGAAATCCCGAT